CGCCTGGGTGGCTCAGATGGTTAAGCGTCTGCCTTCGGCTCAGGTCATGATCCCAGGGTCCTGGGATCGAGTCCCGCATCGGGCTCCCTGCTGGGTGGGGAGCTTGCTTCTCCCTCTGCCTCTGCCTCTCTCTCTCTCTCTGACTCTCATGAATAAATAAATTAAAAAACATATTTAAAAAAAGATTAAAGATAAACACCAGGGCTACTAACCACATAGCTTGGCTGGCCCCAGTGCAGGTGATTTGGAAGCTTTATTCCTAAATTCTTGACAATTTTACTATGCACACCTCACTACCATCACTTCCTAGAGGGGTACACTGAGGCTCCAGATAAAGTGGTGGCTAGGGTTCCACCTCCTGTAACAAGGGTTGGCCTTCTGTCTGGACCTCCCCCACCCCCTAACCCTACCAACAGCCTCAGTGACATAAGAACTGTTGCTTCAACCCAATCCCTGCCCCTGTCCCCAGATTTGTGGACCTGCTGGCTTCAGCTGTCAGTGAACCTCCACCCACCATCCAGGGTCCCCACTACAATTCATCCCTGAGGCCTCCTTGGACACCCCATTCTTTCCAGAGTCCACCAAGACTGAACATCTCTCAGTCTGGAAGCTATTCCCCATTTCTAGACCCTGGAACCCTCATCCTCTTGGCAAGTTCTCTGACCCATTTCCAAAGCATTGAGGCTGCCAATGTCTGGAAGCCTCCTCTCACCAACCCCCATCCTGACCTTTCAACAGTGCACAGAACCTGCAAAACCTTCCCTCCACCGATCTACAGAGGCTCAAGCTCCCTTTCCCCAGAATGTAATTACCCCTGTATCCCAATCACCAGTTCTCAGAGCCATGAGCCCCAGATTGGAAACTATGCTACCACCTTCAGTGCTAGAAGGCTCAAACTAGAACAGGGAAAGGCAGTGATGAGGTCCAGTGTATTCCGCGCCCCGCCCCCCCCCAAGACAAGGTCAGGTCAGAGGCGGGAGGGCCAAGAGATTGCAGGAGGAAGGGAAGCAGGGACCATTCCCCCCCTCTCACTTAGGACAACACCCAACCCCTGAAAGGTGGACGAGAGAGGCTGCCCGGCCCCCCAGAATGGACGTCAGGACACAGTGCGTCCACAGTGAAAGTGTCCACAGTGTCCATAGTGAAACAGTCACAGCCCCAGTGATTGTTGGGGGTAAGCCGCCTGAGGCCCCTGCTGTCCTTGGCTGGCTGTGGGGTCCCGGACAGGTAGGTGTCCGAGCCCCTGTGGCCCCAGTTTCTTCCTCCACAAAGTGGTGGTCACAGGCTGTCTCTCACCGCACCCCATTCCTCCTTCCACTACAGTAGCATTGTGCCCAAGGGCTCCCCCCTCGGGACCTCTGTCTCCAGGCCACCCCCCATTTTTAATACCTAAGAGGGGCCTCATTTCTCCCCTCTCATTGGCTGGCGACCCCTCCCACCCAGGGGCCTTGAAAGCCTCCTCAAGTGCAGGCCCCTACCGCCCCTCCACTCTCCAGGGCACCTGCCCTTCCCGGCTTTTGGAGTCCCCCAGCCCTATCATGCTCAGGGCCCCAAACCTTCCCATGGCCCCCAAGGCTCCAAGCACCCCCCCACCCCGCCCGCAGCCGCCCAGCCCGACAGACTCTTCCATTTCCCAAGTAGAAAACAGTCTCTGCAAATTTACTGAGTGCCCGCCCTACTATGAGCAAAGCTCCGTTACAGGCTGCAGAATTCCCTGGTAAACGTGGGCTCCACTTCTGCACCCCCGTTCTTAGTTGTCAGAGCTCGGGCGGGGCCCTTAACTTCTCTGGGCCTCGACTTCCCCTTCTCGCTCGTGGACTAACAACCCCTCCTGGGTGGAAAAAGGAGCCCAGCCCAGGCTCCGGGGCTAACAGAGGCGGCGCCTGAGGCAGAGCGAGGCCAAGCGCTCGCGCTGGCTCCCACAGCCAGGCCTCCTTGCCGGCGGCCAGGTAGGTCAGCGCGCGGGTCGGGGCTCCGGGCACGGGACCGGCCGGCCGCAGCCGCATCCAGGCCCGGGCGGGTCGCCAGGTGAGCGCGCCCAGGAGCTCCAAACGCGTCGCTGGCGGCCTTGCGTCCACCGGGCGGACTTCGGGTCATGCAGCCGCGCGCGGGGGCCGCCACGGACCCTAGGGGGAGCAGAGGAGGTACGGGGGAGGGGGGGACTGGGCGCGTCCCTGCCACCCCTCGCCCCGTCTGTCTGCTCCTCACCTTTTCCTTCCGACAGGTGGTAAACAAAGCAGCCCTGGCGCCCAAGTGGCGGGCGGGCGCCGGGCAGCCGGCGTTGGGCTCGAGGTCCCCGACCCGCACCTGCACCTGCACCCGCACCCGCACCCGCACCGCGGGGCTGCGCACCAGACCCGGAGGCTCTCAGGAGTCTCCGGGGAGATGTGCCACAGGGCTCTGCCCGGGGTCACTGGGGACACCTGTGGGCACTCAGGGTCTGTAGTGAATTGCGGGGGGGGGGGGGCGGTTAGGCGGGGGGGCCTCTGGGTATAAATGGAGGGGCAACTGTAGCTCCGTGGGCCATCAAGGTTGCCTAGGATATCTGGAAGGGGAATCGGGGTTGCCGGCGCCACAGCGGGGGCAGACCGTCCTCTGTCGGGACATCTGGGGCAATCGGGGTCCCTCTCACTACTGTACGGGAAGAGTTTGGAATCTGGGGTTATGAAGGGGCAGTCGGAGACCTCCAGAGATAGTCCCAGGGTGTTGGGAAGTGTCCAGGAATATTTCGGTCAGATAGCTCTCTCCAGGGATATCGTGGGCGCAGGCGGGGGTCCACGGGCATCCCCGCGATGGTCGGGGGTCGCGGGAGTTGAGAGGGGCAGTGGGAGACCTCCGAAACTATCGAGAGAGTGGTCGGGGGGGCGCCGAAGATCTTGAGGGGCATTCTAGGTTTCGGACGTCGGGGAGCGTGGGGGTTCGCCGAGGCTCGGGCGGGTGCTGACCTGTTCTTTCCACCCGCGCAGGCCGGGGCCTTCCCCTGCGGGCGGGCCCCAGAGCCCGGCAGCTCCTGGCGCGGCTGGACGCGCGCCCCCTGGCGGCCCGAGCTGCGGCCGACGTGGCGGCGCTGGTGCGCAGGACGGGCGCCACATTGCGCCTGCGCCCCAACGCGGGTGCGTGTCGGGGGCGGAGCGGGGCCTCCCGGGGGGCGCGGTCTGAGTGGAGCCGGATTCCGAAGTGGAGGACCCGGGATTGTTAGTTACTCCCCTGGGTGGGGCTAATGGGTGCGACTGGCGGCGGGGCGGGGCTTGGGGGGAGCTTCGAGGGGCGGAGCCTTGGCGTTATCCTAGACTATTCCTCCAGGAGGTGACCCTGGGAAAGTTACTGCGGTGGGTGAATGTTCCATGGCTAGTTGTGGGTGCAGGGCTGGATGGTTATCCCTGTCGCTGGGGCTTCGCAAGGCATTTCTGAGGAGATGGGGCCTGGAGGGTGTTGGGGGCGTGCAGTTGGCTGAGGGGCGGACCTGGAAAAAAAAAATCCACTCTAGGGGGTGGAGCCTACAAACGCCAGGGGGAGGGATCGAAATGTCTGGAACGGGTTGAAGTTTATAGGCCAGTTAGAGGGCGGAGCCTGAAAAGTTCCGGAGCCCAATCGTGGATTTGCACCCCCCCCCGCAGTGGGGGCCTAAGGATGTAATATGAGGAGAGGGATCTTCGCGTTCTTAGAGGACTATAGGATGGTCTGGAGGTGTATTCAAATAGCTGGGCCCAGGATTATTACTTAAAAGTCGGGCTCAGGTCAGTTATTCATGTGGGCTGAGCCCAGTTAAATGGGTGGATGTGTCAGTCTGCATTCTAGAGTCAAGGAAATGAGGTGAGGCTAGAATGTTAAATCAGGGGGCAGGTCCTAGGTGGTTTCCATAGAGTACCCCTCTGACTGTCTTTTTCATCTTCCAGCTGTTAGTGTGCTGGATTCTGCGGACATAGAGGTTACAGACAGTCGCCTGCCTAATCCCACTTTCGTGGAACACCGGCCGCAGGTACCAACTCGCCCTTTTATTGGATGCCACCTGCTTTGAGACTGGCAATGTATGTACGCTTGTGTTTTTACTCCAGCATCATCGGTCAGAGACCTTGGGTACAGGTCCTGCGCCGCCCCAAGTGACCCAGGCTAAGGCACGTTCTGCTTCGAAGCCGCTCCAGACCTCTGGACGGTTCTGTGTGGAACTGGTTCGCGGTTCCACGGGCTTTGGCTTCACATTAAGCGGAGGCCGAGATTCAGCAGGGGATGCTCCTCTGGCAGTGCGCGGGCTGCTGGAAAACGGGCCAGCACAGCGCTCTGGTCGCTTGCAGGTGAGCTATAAGACGCTGTCCATTCAACAGTGCTAGCCCAATCCTCGCCCTTTGTCGGGGTGCTCTCTATCTGCTTTCTACAATACCCCTCTCTTTGCACTCTTGTAGGCTGGGGACCTCGTGCTCCACATCAATGGAGAGTCAACTCAGGGCCTCACCCATGCCCAGGTGGTGGAGCGCATTCGCACGGGCGGCCCCCGTCTCCGCCTCGTACTAAGCAGGCCTCTTGAAACCCACCCCGGCCAACCTGAAGGGGTGGGAGGGCCCCAGAAAGGAGATGGTGGGTTTCCCGAGGGACAGGGTTCAGAGAGCCGTGAGGGGAAGGAGAGGGTTGCAAAGTGGAGAGGCTGGGGTCCAGGGTGGGAGGGGTTGGTGGTCTCAGCGGGGAGGTCAGAGTTTAGCGTCTCTGAGGGATCATGGTATTCTCAAAAGCAGGATCGGGAAGGGCAGGGTCCCAGGATAGGAATAAAAGTAGATTTTAGAGGGGAGGCTTTTGAGGTACTGGGAGAAGAGAAGGGGAAAGGGGTCTGGGGTAAAAGCAGGTGTTTAGAAGGAAGAGTTGTGGTCCTCGCATGAGAAGGCGGAGTGGGTCTCAGCAGGGAGAGGATGGGATGGGGATCCAGAGGGTGCGGGGGGATCTAGTTCCAAAGCTGAGGGGTCCATATGAAAAGGGTTGGGAGTCGAGGCAGATAGTCCGGGGTCCTAGATGGGAGGGGTTTAGCATCTGGAGGTCAAGGTCAGGGTTTGATTTCCTTTGGGATTGTGGTAAATTATTTGGGGTGGGGCATGTTCTGGATCCAGATGTGGGGGGAGGTCTCAGGAAAAGCGTGTGTGTTTGTGTGTGGGGGGGGGAGTCTTGAGGGGTGGTAACGGTTCCTGAATGGTTTGTCCAGGCCTCAAAGGGAGATTTCTCTAAGGAGTGGGGTCTCTATCTCCTGTAGCCCCTGGAGTCTCCCCACTGCCCTCAGCCCGGGGGCTCGGCTTTCCATTCCCCACCCTATCGCCCAGTCTAACCTGCAGGTCTGCCATCCCCAGATCGCAGCCCCGATCCTGGTGGACCAGAGGTGATGAGGTCTCGCAGCGTCAGTGCTTCCCCACTTCAGCACCCTCCATCCGGTACAGCGGCCCGAACCCCGGGCAGCCCAGAGCCTAGCCCAGAGCCGCTGGCCGACTGCCCCGCGGTTTCTCCTCCTGAGCGCCGCACAGAGGACCCTGACGACCGAACCCCGGGTTCCCCGGGACCCTGGCTGGTGCCGAGTGAGGAACGGCTTTCGCGGGCCCTAGGGATCCCAGGGGCCGCGCAGCTTGCTCTTGAGATGGCAGCCGGGAGGCGGAGGCACTGAGCAGGTATGGGACGGTCCGATGCTCACTTGGTACTGCCCAGGCTGGATCTGGTGTGCTCCGCCGACCGCACACTAGCATCCCTGGGAGAGCTTCCACTTGGTCCTGCCCCACCCCCACTCCTGCTGCGCCGCGGACCAGCCCGCGCTCCCCCCGCGGTGTCAGTGGTACAGCCCTCCGGACGGGCCAGCCCTGCGCTTCTGGTTTTGAGTGGGGGAGGTAATAAAATGGTTTGACCCAGTCTTGACTTGCCAGGTGCTCTAGGCCGGGTGGGGCTCCTGAGTTCATCCCGCAAAGGAGGGGGTGGGTCGATCTGGTTTCAAGGAGGGCCTCTTGTAGACAAGCTTACTTCGTGCTGTGGGCCTCTAGCAGGGTCCGCTTGTGCCGATCCTCAGCCTGGCGTGCTTTCTCCCCACTCCGTTTTTCTTCTCCAACTCCTGCTTCTCTCCGCGTTCATTCATTTCACTTTTGGGGAGGTGTGAGGGGCTCACGGATAATCTTTGCTCCCGGCGTGGGGAATGCAGAGGTGGGCCGTTGTAGCGGGAGTGCACCTGAACACCCACAGCCCCATGCAGGAATCGTCCAGAACCTCAGCTCATGGCCCGATAGCAAGGCTAGAACCAGGGTGGCTTCCTTCACCGGGAGCCTGTGGTCTCTCACTTCCGGCCTTGGTCGGCCAGCTTTCGCTGGCTTAGGGCATGGGCTGGGGCCCTGGAGCTCCCTTTGGGGCGGAGCCGGCAAGGTGTGAGTCAGCGGGCTGGGCTAAAAAAGGCTGTTAGAACCTTTGAGCCGCGCCCCCTCTTCCATAGATGGTGATGAACTGCAGCCAGGCTTGTGTGCACACGCCACATGCTGGGCGTTCCTGGTCCAGGGAGAGGCCAGAGTTTCCTCCATCCTGGGAGCAGAGCCCTAAAGGCAGGGCTTACATGGCCAGCGGGACTCCAACCGGGATAGCCCCGAAGCCAGCGCTGGCCCAGGCCAGAAATGTCCAGTCACCCCCGCTTGTCACCACACCCTGAATACTTGGCCCCACCCCCCCCACCCCCCAGTGAAGGAAGTTGTGGTCAGGCGGGAATGGGCAACTCCCACCCGAGAGGGGAGACAAATTAAAAGACCCGAGTGTGAATTTCCAGGCTGACGCTGGGAGGAGAGAGGGACCTCAAAGCCAGACTGGGAGCTGGGGTATAAAGAGGTGAAGAGGTGAACACTTGAATGGTCATCACTGTGGACATTATGAGGAGTGCGCTGGGGCTTCCAGCTACCCTTGACTCAGAGCCTGGTGGAGGTGTGGCTCTAGGGAAGTAAGGAGCTCCAGTCCTATAAACACAGTCACACCCAGGAGACTAATAATAGTAACCCCAGCCACCATTTACTTAGCCGTATTCCGGCTACTGGCTTTACTTGCAGTATCTATTTTCATCTACTTACACATCTGCTCAACAATCCTGACATGTCTGTTTCACGGGGGGAGGGAAGTGAGGTCCAGACGGTATAAATGGCTCGAGGGAGGGGGTTGAAGCAAGATTTAATGAAGGCCGGATTCCCGAGCCAGTCCTTTTAATCTCACCTGCATTTGACAAGTAATAATTGAGCCCCAATTGTTTACCTTGCACTATGATAGGCACTGGGGAGATGCTGGGAAAACAAAACATAAAAGATTTCTAACCTTGTGTAGACCTATGTTGGAAAAGAAAAGGAAAGAAAAGAAAATGAATAAATAAAAGATAACTTCAGAGAGAAGTCAGAGTTATAAAGATAGCAAAAGGAGGTTATGTTGGAGGAAGTGATGATGATGGGCTGCTGGTTTCTTTGAAGACAACATTTGAGCTGGGACCTGAATGACCAGAAACCACATGTATGAAGAGCTTGGGGAAGGGCATTGACGGCCCTGAGAGTGGCAAGTGCAAAGGCCCCGAGGTGGAGCAGAGTTTGTTTTGTTCTAGAAACTCAGACATGTCCTCACAGAGTTGGAAAGCACACACTGGGAAAAGTGTGCTTCATTCCTTCCACCACCCAACCACTCTCAGCAACCTGGACTGATAGAAGGGTGCCCCTTCCTTTGGTTTTGAGGGGCCCCAGGTTGAGGGGTGGTGGTGCAGGCAGGCCCTTGGGTTTAACTGTGTTGGCCTTCCAGCCACAACTCTTCCCTCAAATGGGATGAGAATAAAACCAACGTCCAGTCTGGAGAGTGTGATTCTCAGCATTATCTCCAGGGAGATCCTGATTCCTGTGACCAGGTACCTGTCTCAGATGCAGAAATCAAGGCTGAGTCAGGGGAAATGGCTCGCTTAGGATAACACACTTCAAATGTCATCAGCCTTGTCCCCCAGACCGGCACCCCAAGAGCCTACCTCTCATCTTGCCAAGCTTCCTGCAGTAAAGAAACCTGGGCTCCTTCCCATCTTTATTCATCTAGGGCGGTGTTGGTGGCCCCTCTCTTTAGAACCAGGAAACAGGCCCAGTGCCTGGGGCCAGGGCCTCCTTAGGATTGCAGAACAGAGAGAGTGTCAGCCCCTGGGTTGTGACACCGTTAATAATGTCTGTTCCCATTTACTGAGAAGCTTGATGCTCACCAAGCCCTATTCTCTCTTAGCCTGTGCGCTAGTGCAGTCTCATTTCCATCACTGCTAAGGGGTTCATTCTACCCACTATGATCCTTCACCCGAAATCTGAAGTCCACAAAGCTCTGGAAATAGCTTTCCCACGTGTTGGGCACCATTTGGTTACAAAACTTAACATGACTTAATGAGGGACAATTTTCAGTTCTGGCTGATCCCACTTATTGTGAACGACTTCTACCCCTTTTCTTGAATAAATATTAAGGTGTTTATTTAAAAAAAATTTTTTTAAGATTTTATTTATTTATTTGACAGAGAGAAACACAGCGAGAGAGGGAACACAAGCAGGGGGAGTGGGAGAGGGAGAAGCAGGCTTCCTGCTGAGCAGGGACCCGGATGCGGGGCTCGATCCCAAGACCCTGGGATCATGACCTGAGCCGAAGGCAGACGCTCAACGACAGAGCCACCCAGGCGCCCCTATTTTTAAACTTCTTTTTTAAAAAAACGGGGCTGCCTCAGACCTCGCTGAGAGTGTTATGAAATACACAACTTTCTAAGATCCGAAATATTCAGAATTCTGGAAACATACCTGGGTTTAACCACGGCCTCAGCCATTTTTACAGCTAAGGAAACTGAGTCATGTGCTTCCCCCAAACCAGATCCCTGAGGTTCTGAATTGAGGCAGCACCGAAAGCATTCCTATTCCGAAAGCGCAAAAGACCTCTCCATTACCGCACATGGTACCCCGAACTGCCAAGCCTCAAAGGCTGGCGCCCCCGGAGGTGGGGCGCCCTGGGGGCTACGCGCCCGGCGGGGAGTATCCTTGGCGGGCGGGGCAAAGGGGCTTCCGGGGCGGCAGCCACCTGGCCCGGCCCCCTCCGGCCCCGCCCGCTTCTGCTCCGAGAGGTGATTCACTCCCTCCTTCGCCCCGGGGGCCCCCTTCCCGGCCAGACGGCGGGCAAGACGGCAGGGTGTGCAGCGTCTTGGAATCCGCGAGCAAGCGAGTAGATACTCCGCGCCCCTAGGGACTCCGGCCCACCCCATGGCGGATTCCGAGCGCCTCTCGGCCCCCGGCTGCTGGGCCGCCTGCACCAACTTTTCGCGCACCCGAAAGGGAATTCTCCTGTTTGCTGAGATTGTGAGCGTCCCGGGACAGGCGGGTGGGCAAAGGCAGGTTGGAGTGGCTGGACCACGCGAAGCCCAGAGGCCCCGGGTGAGGCAGGCGCGGGCCTAGAGGCGCTCCGCAGTGGGGCGCGGGTGGGTGGGTTAGTGGTGGAGGCCCGAAACCAGGGGCTCGGGGCGAGCCAGGGGGGTTTGGAGAAGGTGGTCAGGAGCCGCTTGAGCCACGGGGTGACGCGAGGGGCCCATAGCGCATATGGGGGGCCCTGTGGATGGAGACCGCGTGGACACATCGGTGGGCTCCTTCGGAGGGATCCCAGGGGGCTAGGAGGCGGGGGGCCTCCCGTGGCAGGGAGTGGCGCGGCCTGGGCACGGGCGGGCGGGCTGGCTGCGCGCCCAGGGGCGGGGCCTACTGGGGTGGGGCCCTGAGCCCTGGTCCTATGGGGTCGGGCGGTCAGCCCTTCTAGTTCTTCCTCGCCCTTCTGTGGTGGGGCAGGAGGTCCCTAAGCTATTCGGGCCGTTCGGGGAGCCTGGGTTTCCCATCCCCCTGAAAGTGGGCGCCGCCTTTGATTCACTTGTAAAAGGGGTGCGACGCCTTTAACAGAGCCCTGCCCCTCCGGTGTCACTCTCACCGCTTCCCAAAGGGGTTGCCGAGGGAACCACAGGTCCCGCCCCTGTCAAGGCCCTGAAGCTGGCCGCAGCAGTGCTCACCAAACACCTGGCGGCACCACTCCCTGCAGCCCGCCCCTATGCTGGAAGGGGAAGGGGTGGGGGGAAGCGGAGGCACCCAGCTCTACCCCTTACTAGGTGCCCCTGGACAAGTCACTTAACCTCTCTGTGCCTCACTTTTCTCATCTGTAAAATAAAGATACTAATAACAGTTCCCAGCTCATTGGGTTGTCCTGATGATTAAGTAAATTAATACTTGTACAGCCCCTAGAACAGCTTTTGGGACACAATGAGCACACAGTAAACGTTTAGCTATTAGTATTTGTCATCTTTCCAGTCCTAATAGGGATCATCGGAGTGTTTGAGACCTCCAGTTTAAACCCATCCCCTCAGCCCTGGGCGCTGATTCCGGGGGGGGGGGGTGGTGGGCTTTCCCCTGTCATCCTTCCAGATACTGTGCCTGGTGATTCTGATCTGCTTCAGCGCCTCCACACCAGGATACTCCTCCCTGTCGGTGGTCGAGATGATCCTTGCTGCTATCTTCTTTGTCATCTACATGTGCGACCTGCACACCAAGATACAGTTCATCAACTGGCCTTGGAGTGTGAGAAAGGGGCGAGGCTAGGAAGGGGCCTGGGCGGTGGGGATGATCCTGGTAACTCTGGATGCTGACTTCCTCTCTTCTCCCCACGCCTCACAGGATTTCTTCCGAACCCTCATAGCAGCCATCCTCTACCTGATCACCTCCATTGTTGTCCTTGTTGAGGGAGGAAACCACTCCAAAATCATCGCAGGGGTAAAAGCCACAGAGGCAGCTCCAAGGCAAAGACAGAGGGGTTTGAGAATCCAGGGCCCAGTTCTGCCTCTGCTTTTGGCAGGAAAGTATGTGGCCCGT